CAAGTCCTGGGCTTGTACAGTACAAGAGTGACCTTACTCGAACTCCAGTTCTGAAGAATGGCGTTGGGCGTAGCAAAGTCTTGTCATTTCTTGAGCAAGAGCCCTGCAGTCCTTCAGTCAGGGAACATGCCTGAAACATAAATAATTTATTAGTCTACTATAATGGAAACTAACATTGGTTTCTGATAGACTGCACAAGCAAGCACCGCCGTTGCAAATTTATAGAATCAAAAACAAATTGTAAAATAAATTTTGGGATCACATTTGAAAAACAAACAAACAACTGAAGCATGACACACAACAAGAATGTTAAAACAAGAATCAACTATTCAACACAAAATAGTACTGTATGCAAAGAAAATAATACAAAGCTTTTGGACTAAGTGTCAACCACACGATCAACACTCAATAGGAAATAGGAAAGCCCCTCCCCCCTCCCCACTCAAAAAATGAGGAAAACAACAGCCAAACAAGCTGGAAAGCCAAAATTACTACTGCATCTTTAGAACCAAGTGTATGAGGAGAAAAATAACGCAAGCCACATTTATCATCAAGGTTAAGGAAGACAACACCACGCCTTTTTATGGTTATGACAAGCGAGTATGAGTTCAAAGACGTGCAGTGCGAATTCCACGTGGAAGAGACTTACACTCGCTGTGTGAAGAACCGAGATGACAATCAAGGACACAATTTAAAATAATATCCACCAAAGTCAAAGCCCCGGCCAGACGACTCGACCAGAAACAAAACATCTTTTTCACCACTTTCCCTTTCTGCTGGCTATCGCTTACTGGCACTCCGCGCTGGGCGTGCGGATAGCGGTTCCGTAGTGCGCCTAACGAAAACAAGAACGACATAAACATAGTGGATGATTGATGACAGTCGATGACAGTTCTTACCGTTTTTATTAATGTTTTGTGTTTGGTGTTTCGTCCTGACAGTCACCAAGACATGGCTCGCGAGTGTTTTCCACCCATTTCACAACCAGCCTGCCGTCAACTAGTGCAAATTTTAGCTCGAGATTTCGTGTTTTTTGTGTACTGCACCAGTGTGAAAGGAGTGACATAACCAAGGAATACAGTTCACAGCCTCATCTCAAGGTAAATCAATTGGGACCTCACAAAGAAGCAATTAATAGTCTTGAATTGTGCCCACAATCACATTTGTTGTGTTCCCTATCTGCTGAATTAGTATCCTCTGTTAAATCCAATCAGCCTCACCTGTTGATTAAATATGCGTATGTCAGCATCATCTGACAAATTGTACGCATGTCTATGTCATCTGACTAACATGCGCATGTCACCAGAGGTCTCATCTGACAAAAGAACGCATGTCATCGTCATCTGACCGAAGGTGCGCATGTCAGTCGTCATTTGAACAAAAGTGCGCATGTCATCTGACATACGTACTTTTGTCAGATGACATATGACATGCGTACTTTTGCACCATGTCCACCTAGGGCTACCTATGGGGAATTTTCCCAAAATTCCATTTGCACTGGATGTAGAACATGTTTTTGGTCAGTTTGGTCTTAAAAAGTGGTTTTTGGAAATTTGATGACCTACGTACTTATGTCAGATGACAGGTGATTTGTGGGACCTGTGTTTTATTTGTTTTTTTTTAATCCAATTTTTGAGCCAGAATGCTCTTCTTCGAACTCGATCTGTCTTTTTATGATACAAAACGACCTTAAAATACCCAGGTAGCAAGCTCAATTTGTTCTCGAGATATCGTGCGTACAGACAAACACACACACAGACAAACAGACGCGAAACTTTAAGATCATCGGTGGAGTAATAGGCTTCGCTAACCGCTCAGCTAATAATGAGCCTTCTACCTCAAACCGTTCTCGAGTTATCGTGCGAACAGACAGACAAACAGACAGACAGACGCGAAACTTTTTGATCATCACTAGAGTAATAGGCTTCGCTCGTTATCGCTCAGCCAAAAACCATCAGCCAATAAAACAAAAAAAATGGACAAAAGAATCTTAAGAAGTACTAGCTATATGTACGCCAGACCACGTCTCGCGTAACAGGCTTCGCGATATCTCACGAAACACTGTTACGCTGCGACGCGCCTGGCGCACATATAGCTCGGCCTGCGCCGCTGACACCCGAGACGAGTTAAGGAGAGGATATAGGGGAACATGGTCTTCCAGGCCCATAATGTGACATACTCGAACCATTTGTTGGGGTCTTAATACTCTTAAATTAGGGACATGAAACTTCTGCTGTCTGCGGTAACGGTTTTCATTAAAAAATCGAATTTTGTCAAATTGTTATGTAAATCAACGTTTTAGTGATATAGTAGATAATCTAGGGACCCTTAAGCCCAAAAGAGAGGGTGGTCCGACCCGTCATGTGTGGTCTAAGTATTACTCCCTTTACAATTCTCTGACATGAAGCCTTTTTTACGATTCAATAGATCATTTTGTCTTTTTTGTTTTCGCCAAGAAATGCGCCATAGCGTCAAAACGGTACAAGATAGAGCGAAACGGACGGAATTTTCGCCCAAAGAATTCTATTTTCACGAGTTACCCCTTAGGAGCCCATAAACAAATATTTGCAAAAACAAATATTTTGCGACCTTCGGTTTTTGATTTTTCAAATCTCAAATTTTGAGCTAGAATGCTCATCTTCGAACTCGATCTGTCTTTTTATGACACAAAACGACCCTGAAAATCCCAAGTCGCTATCTCAATTCTTTCTCGAGTTATCGTGCGTACAGACGGACAAACAGACAGACAGACAGACAAACAGACAGAATGAGACTTTTCCGGTCAGTGGAGTTATGGGCTTCG